TCAACCAAGAGATCTAAGCATAAAAACTAGAGATCTGTGAGATAAAATGGAGGGAGCAGGAGTAGATTTTATTTTATTTATTTATTTTTTTAAAAGTGGCAAATCATCAACTCAGCCTTAGTGGTGTTATCTATATGTAGAACTCGCTTGAATACAAGTAATAAATAATGTCAAAAAATGAAGGACAATTAGCTTCCCAATTTTCAATATAAAAAGGATTCTTAGATTTACAAGTATAAGACAGTTAAAGTATATAGACCATGTGTGGATGGGGCTTATTTGGAGCTTATATGAATAGATAGCAAAAAGGGTCTTGGCAGCTTCAACAACAAATGCTCAATAAATCCAACACAGTGAAACCAACTACATATACAGAGTACAACTGTGTGATAACATTACTCAAGTAAAAAAAAATTATGTTTATTGTAAGCTGAGGTACTTTATTTATTAGAGGATTGAACTACCAATATTTGATTGACCAGAGGTATAGCATGAGATGAGAACCTAGGGGACAGAACTGATGTAGGACAATCATATTGTAAATAGGATAAAAGTTAGATATACTAGTGGTAGAAGAAATAATTTTGCCTATAAATACAGAGGCATTGTACACTTTTCAACAAGAATCAATTACTATTCAATATATATATAACATGATTGTTTAAATATTGTTTTTATTTATTACATAATTCTTATTACCACCAAGAACTAAGACTAAACTTCAAGGGGCTGAATATGCCGTGGGAAAAATAAAGAGCGTGATTTGAGGAAAACTTGCAGCAAAGCCCCAGAGCCCTTGAGATTTTGGGCAAATTCTACATGTGGCCAAACACATTTTATAATTTCTACCAAATTTAGCTATTATATTTGGTTATATTATCTTAATTTTCAAATTTTCTTGCACTTAGGGTTTTTACAGCATTGTATAAATAAGCAGCCTAGAGTTAGCATAAAAGCATTGCAGATTGACTAAGAAAACCTTTGAGCTTAAACAACATAACATAATAGAAACCTGTACAAAGTTCCTTTCGTTCTTCAAAACTTATCAAAAGAGCTGTATTTGCTAGAGTATTGGGAGTTCTTATTGTAATGCTTGACTACTTAACAGGAGGATTCGTTGCAAATACCAGCTTGAAACATTACATTCTATGACAAACATATATATATTTTCGTGTAAATTGTTTTGAACTTTGTGAACAGCATTTCAAGGAAGCTCTTAACAAGCACAGATTACATTATTGTTCATTGGTGTCTTTAAGAAGATTATCCAAATATTTACACGAGATGGACAGTGGGGATAAATAAATCCTACATGATCACCAGAATTAAAAGATTCATCACATCAAAATTACGGTGCATTCTGTAAGCAGTAAAAGTGAATAGTCTGGTGCATTGTAGGAGAAAAGTTTGCAAATATTTATGCCACAACTGCAGTAGTCCACTCAAGGAATACAATTACCGGGTGGATCGATCATTTGTCTACCGCGCGACATACACTAAATAAAGGATCAGAAGCAATATGATTGATTAAAAGGGTTACGCTTAACCAGACCTTTTTTTGATAGGTATGCTTAACCAGACCTACCAAATACCTTTACTTATAATTCCAATTTTCTTCTTTCATTTCTTTTGGGTTGGGAGTAGGTGCTACAAGCACACCTGTTATAGTAGTTGTGATGCAATATGGAAAGAGTATTCAAGGCATAGAAGAAATTAAATTAATTAGAATCTTATAGTATTTCCGTTATTAATTAATATTGCCTTTAACTGTGATTTTTAGACAATTGGTTTTGTTTCCTTGTAAAGGAAACATTAGTTTCCTTAATAATCCTAGACTGAATACTATATAAAGGGGATCTTTGATTGTAATAAACATATTATTATTGAATTAATTTGCAATCTTCCTGCTAAACCTCTCTCACTTGTTCTCTATTCTTCCCAAGTTATTCTTGTTCTTTTTCTCAACATCAATTTGGTATTAGAGCAAAGGCGTTCTTACTTTGACCAAATTTTTGTTCATCGCATCAAGTTTGTTGTAGCAGCCATCTAACTCAATAGATTCACATTACCATTATTCGAAACCCAATCCATCCAATGCACATCCAAACACCACAGCAAACAGCAGCAACTAAAAAGGTACATATCAGTATTCGGACATAGTTGATTGTCGGTTTTCTTTTCTTTTTGTAATTCATGTTATAAAAAAAATAATAAATAATAATAATAATAATAATAATAGAGGTGAAAACCGGAACTATTCACAGGTTACTCAAAATTCAGTTCTGTTTTTAATAGTTTCAAGTCAAGAAAATGTAGAAATCGTGATTCAAAATTGTTGTCCCCATATTGCATCTGTTGTTGCCACAAATATACATAAATGCCACATATACATAAATTACCAATCCCATCAGCAACCAACCCTTACCATACTTCAGCCCATACTTCAGCCCATCTTAC